TCGGGGCAGCGCGCGGCCTGGTGTCCCCGGGTGGGGTGGGGACACAAGCTATGCCGCGCTATCGTCCGACAGGTTCCGGGCAGCTCGGGGAAAGCTCTGAAAAATCAGACTTTCCGCGCTCACGTATGTCATGACTCCCTTGTTGTATAATCAAAATATTCTGAGCAACTTTCAGCTCGCAGCGGACTGCCTCAGCCGTGGCAGAAGGCCGCCTGCCCTGACAAGCCCTGAAGCCAAAAGTGACTTGACCCTGGCTGCTCAATAAAGGCAAAAGGGCTGTTTCTGCAGTCTCTCACTGCCGGAGGGAGGAAAGCCCAAGTCTCACCCCTCCGCTATCTCACCTGGCCTTCCACTCAGCTGCCACAGAATTACTCAGACTGCCCACGGTCTGGCCTTTACACGTGGAAACCCATCCAGGTGGCCTGCTCTAGAGCTACAGGTCAAAGGAATCCACAGAAGTCTTCTGGCTAGTCTTGCAGGCCCTTAGATAAGGAAATTCACCTGTCTCCTATTCAGAGATTTGATTTGCAAGAAACTTCCTCTTCCTGCCTCCCAGGATGTCTCAGGTAGGAAAAACCATCAAGTGATAAATAAGGTTTAAGAGACTAATTTTTATCAATCTTCACTATAGTAATATTAGTCTTTGTGCACCTAAGTACCCGTTTTTAACCTTGCTTGGTTTTAGAATGTTAGAATCAAGTAAAGGTCAAGAGGACCCCAGACTATTCTTAGAAGACAGGTGATTGTGCCCTCAGCCCTTTCGTATGCTAACGCCACCCCCTGGCCTGAAGCCATAAGATAAACCTCTGCTGAAGGCGGGGCAGGAAGACTCCACCCAACTCCCACTTGACTCCCCAGTCTTCCTCACTCCCGCTCCACTTACTCCCCAATTTTCGGAAATCTCCGCTCGTGGACACCGCTCCCACCTTGAGACCCTGCCTGTTCTGCCCCCCAATAATCTGTGGTCGGGGACAAAGTCTCGGGCAATGCGGCGGTCAGGAGGTCCTGGCCGTGGGGACGGCGGGGCAGGGAGAGCGGCCCTGCGGAGACGCTCAGGGCTCCCTGGAGCCGCAGCCCCCACCTCCGGCCGCTGGGGTGCGGCCCCCACCAAGCAGCGAGTGTCATTGCTGGCCCGGACGCTGAGGTCAGCAGCAACTGGGAGGCACCTGTTACTCGGCTCTTTGGTCACCTGCCTCGTCCAGGACACTCTGGAGGCCAGCAGCTCTGCCTCCTCGCCCGGCCTCACACTGACCAGCTCATGACCACGGGCGAGGTAACCTCAGAGCAAGCCACTCGGTTCATGGAAGTGGCAGTGACCACAGACACCGGCGCCACGAGGCTGTGAAGCCCGATGAGCATCTCGTGCGCACAGCCGTCCACGGGGCACACACACAC